TTAGTGCCTGGTCCCCTGTCAAGAGCTCCTGCAGGCACCCAGGAGCTGCTCCTAATGGGCTGCCAGGGGATTTGGGATCTGACAGCTGGGTGCTGACAGCTCCCTGCAACTACTAGCTCCAGCTGCTGGGCCCTCCTCTCCCTGGTAAGATGGAGAAGGATGCTCTGATCACCACAGGGAGGAGGCTGGCTCCTTTTTCTCCCCTCACCAGGTGTTTGTGATGGTGCTGGAGGGTTGCGGTACCCACTGCCTTGGTGGGGCTGGTAAAGCCTTGGGGAACAATGGTGGTACAAGCAGAGGCATCCCAGGCTAGAGGAGCTCCTGCAGGGTGGTGCTCCCAGGTGGGCACTGTGAGAGGCGAGGTCTGGGTGTAGCAGCACAGAGCAAGTCTTGTCGCAGCCCCCAGCAGGGAGTTGGGATGGGAGGCCCTTGTTAGCTGGGAGAGCTGGGAGCAAGTGCTGACACCTCCTGGGGCTCCCTCTGCAGCAGCTCTGGGGCCTCCCAAGCTTTCTCCTGGCTGACACATTGCCTCTCTTCGCTGCTCGATGCAGGGCTCCTGTGTGTCCCCACAGACCCCATACAGGGGCTGGGGAGAATCCTGGGGCTCCCTGGGGTCCGGCTCCATCCCAGCAGGGGCCGTGGCAGCCCAGGCAGAGGGACTGTCCCATCATCCTCCAGCACAGAGCATCTCCCAGCCTGCTGTCTTGTATGGCTTTTTATTCCTATGTGATTATACATCCCACTTCATATAGGGATTGAAGCCGTGCACTACGCCGGGCTCCTGCGGCAGAGAGCAGCCCCTGTGCCATGGGAGCCGGCCTCAGAGGAGCCACCAGAGCTGTCCCCCGGGGGCTGGACAGGGACTGCTGGGCTCAGCCTGGCCTCATCCTGCATCCCAGGCTCCCCAGCCCTCTTGGGATGCAGGTGAGGGGTGCCAGGCTGCTTTGGGGTGAGGCGGCACAAGCCCACTCCTTGCATTGCACCCCCTTGCAAGGGTGGGCCTGGTTCTGCACCCCATCTGCTGTGGAGAGCCCCAGTGACTGCACTGGTGGGCTCATCCCTGGGGAATCTGCTGCTCTGCTTTTGTCCCTGACTGTCCTGGGATATGCAGCATCTGCGTGCAGGCACTGCCAGCAGCACAGGGGAGGAGGAAGAGGAAAAAGATGCTGAGGAATGGCCACGACAGCAAGGGCTGCCCCAGGCACGATGCTCTTCAAGGTTTCTCAAGAGGCCTCAGCCACTCTTTCAAGGTTTGTGTTATATCTGTCACATTAGCGAAAATGGTGAAAGTTGTGGCTTGTGGAGGAGATGAAAGGCAGCCCCTTCCAATGCCTCCATAAAGAAAGGGGCCCATTAACACCTAGTGAATTATTGGCCATTAATCAGGCTCTGTGCAAAATAAAACCATCCACATTTATCATTATTGGATCCTTAATGAAGTGATAATGGGAATGCTGGGGAGCTGTGATATTAATGTCTTCTAAGAGGCAAGAGCAGAGCCAAGGGCGGCAGCCAAGATTTTTAATTTACTGCCAGAAGCTCGTGCTGTTAATAACGCTGTTCCTTCCCCCGGCCGTTAGCACTGGTTGGCTACGAGCTGCCGACTTGGGAGAGCAAATCAACCCTGAACATACCCAGACTTTGCCCACCTGCTCCCCACACAGCATCTGAGCACGTTTTTCCCACCCACTGTCCCCTGCCCATGTGTAGGGATATGGCCAGGGAGCTGCTGGCCATCTTCACCCACCTGACTCCTTCCTGAAGGCTGGCTGGTGTAGAAAGTTTTGCTTTTCTGATAAAAAGGGAAGGGACTGTGAGTGTCAAGCCCCAGTGTCTCTTACTGTCCTCACTCTCTCTGTGACTTTTCTCCTTAGGCACAAGCACCAGAGCCAGGGTGGCACGGAGCTGGTCCCAGCACAGCCCACACACTGGGGTTGCTCGGTGGGACTGCAGCCACACTCTGGTGTCTTCATTTGCACAGCTTTACTCTCATGAGGCCAATATCCCGTCCAGGACAGCAAGGATAAGCTGCAAAGCCTGCTCAGCTGTGGTGACTCACTTGAGTTCCCAATGGGAAAGTCATTGCTCCTGCCAAGCCCTGCCAGCCCAGAGGCAAATCATTACCAGGCAGGTAAGTGATGCTCTCTGTTCTCGTGTTTTAAGATTTGTGTTATCTCACAAATCCTGTTAAACCTGGCCAGTGGGGCCCAAAGGTATGTTGGCTCATGCATGGGGCCTTTTGACCTTTTGTGAAGGGACTGCAGGTCAGAGGGAGGTGGCCTTGGGCTGGAGTGATAGCAGACAATTCCCTGCTGAGCACTGTCCAGAGGAATAAGATGCTGCTTTGTCTGTGAGGGCTGAGCACACTCCAATGCTCCTTTTGTCCCTAGGCAGAAGTTGCACAGGGTCCACCAAAGCAGCCGCTTGGAAATGGAGCTTTGAGTTATCCAGGTAGGAGCATCAGAGAAGTATTTCTGTAGCCTGGGTGTTCTTGCTGAACCTCCCCCTGGCCTGTTATCTCCTCATTAGGAAAGAAAGGACAAGAACAAAAATCCATATATGGCAGCCAAGCAAAGGTAGATGGGAAATGCACTTCAAACAGCTCCATCCTTTCAACAAAGCTTTTATTAGACTTCTCTCCTCCCCAACACACACTCTTTAATCGTTATGAAAAGCCACCATTCAGGAAGCAAGGACACTGCTCTGGCTACCTGGAGTAGGCATTTCCCAGGAGAAGCCAGCCAGCAGGAGCCCAAGGTCCTCTGGAATTGACTGGGAGGCAGCACAAGCAGCAGCTCCAAGTCCAGGGTGGTGCTCAGCAGTGTGGCAGAGCCTTGGGTAGGGGGTTGTGGTGGCCCTGTGGCAGTGTGCCCAGCCTGGCACACTCGACTGCTGCTGAAGTGACCCTTCTGCCAGGCACCCCAGCCTGAAAGGGAGTCACTCTGCATTCTGCTGGAGCAGAATGGCCCAGGGAGCACCCAGCAGTGTGGAGGCAGCCTCACCCAGCTGTCCTGGCTGCAGCCCACACCTGTGGCTGTGTGGCTGCCCGTGTTAGTGCCCCGTGGAGCTGCCCTGCTGGGCACGGCGCAGGCGACCTGCCAGCGACCTCTGGAGAAAAACACAGGGCACAGAGCAGCTTCTCCTGCACAACCACCCCCTGACATTACGGGGCACAGGGAGCTCTGTAACGCTTGGCAGATTTTCCCCAGCAGATCTGGGAGCTGTTTGCCACTGTGAGCAAGTTCAGGCATGTTACAAAAGACCTTCAGACTCTGAGGACAAATGAGATGCGTGGATGAGTTTAAACCACTGGGCAAGGCTGGGATTTTCAAATTCTCAGGGTTGTGCCTTATTCTGAGCCTGGGCTGCAGCCCAGAGAGTCCAGCTGCCAGCCTGGCATCGACAGCAGGCCCCATGATGGTCCTGCTGATATCCCTACTTGTTAGATACTGGCTTCAAAACCAAAATGGGAGGTTTTGCATCCTCCTCAAAACCCCACCCTCTGATCCACCTTGAAGTGGGGTGCAGAACAACTGACTGTTCAGTGAGACACCACAGGGTGTTGGCACAAGGGTGTATTTATGTCATGAGATGAGATCAGCCACACGGAGTAGGTCGGTCTGTCTGGAAAGAGTCTGAGTCAAGCGTGTCCTATTACATTAGAGCTGGATTTTCAAAGGACCTCAGCTCCCACTTAGGCTCTGTAACAAACAGACGGATATTCAAAAGGAGTTGGACGTGCTGGGTCATACTGGCTGCTGAGCTAAAGCCCTTTGAATATCCAGCCAAACCGTCAGTGTGCCTGTTGCTGCAGGCAAAGCCCTCCTGAAATCCAGCCCCACTGTGAGCTCCATGTCCTGGGAAACCGAGCTCATCTCTGCTCTCCCACATACCACACTGCAGTAGGTGACAAAAACGTGATAACCACAGCGTCCTCGTGCATGTGGGGGGAGCAGCTCCCTGTCAGAGCACAGCTCTGGCAGATCTGCCCTTTGATCAGCTCAGCAGTATGGGTCAGGAGAGCTGAGCATGAAGGTTTCCTTGTCTTTTGTTCTGTGGAATTAGCAGAGTTAATCAGAATGACAGCAACTTCTGCCTCAGTGCAGAGGAAAGGTCAATGGCTCAGGCTGGATGCACAACAGTTTTCTACAGTTGGAAAACAACACCATGAAAGCTCATAGCACACATGCTGCTGGCACACAGGCACTCCCAACAGGGACCAGCAGGGAAGATGTTACTGTGGAGGGAAGAAGGCTGGAGGAGGACTCCACACAGCTGGCTTGTCACTGCACTTCATTCATCTCCATCCTTACACTGTTCAGTGAAGGTATGTTGTCCTCCTTGTCACTGTGCACTGCTTGTGTCACCCAGCCAGTATCAAGAACTTCTCTTTGCCAACGTGCTTCTTAGCCACACTCCTGGGTGTGCATCCTGCTGGGCCTGGGGTCTCTGTCATCTCAGTACCCTGCTGTGGGAAGAGCTGCAGGGCACTGTGCTGGCATGTGGAGCAGGTGCTGGGTGTCCCCTTCCCACCACATCCCCCCAGCAGCTCCATGCTTCAGGTGAACAGGCCTTGCTGTTACTGCTTTACATCCTTCAGTCACTGTAATTTGCTCCTAAAACCCCACTGCTGAGCTGCTCTTAGCTGGGGGCACTGGAAGTGCAACAGTGCAGCAAGGGCTCTCCCTGGTAGCCCTGCCATGGCCTCAACTTCCCTACATCTCTTAAATTAACTATAGCTGGAGCAGTCACAAACTTAAATCCAATTTCCTTGTCTGTAATGCGACCTCTTACCTTCCTCTGATCCCACCAATTACAAGTGCTTGTTTTTGCTGTGGATGTCCACTCATGTGTCTAATTAGTGGATTCTTTCTGTCAAAGACACTAGCAGCCTCAACAGTGAGCTCTAATTTAAGTAGTTTGCATTTGTCCACAGCATTGGTGCTTTCACTTAGTCCTGCTCCTAATTAAGTGCATCTGGGTGTCTGCAGAGGGAGCTCTCATGATCTCTCCGTGGCTCTAATTAAAATGGCCTGGATGTCCATGACATTGGTGCCTGTCAAGCCTGTCACCAGGAGGTGATGCCCACCTTGGAACTGGCTGAAGAACGTGTAGGAGTCATTGTTCCTGAGAAAGGCCTCCACATCCAGGCCCTCCTGAAGTGCCTCAGCCACCAGCCCGGGGCTGCAGAAGGCTCCTGCTGCCTCTGTTGGCCCATCCTGCCCATCTGTTCCCCCACTGAGGAAGAGGATCTCACACCTCCCTTGGGGGCTGCTGGCTCCTGTGGCCTGGGCCTTGTGCAGCCCCAGCCCCACACGCAGGGCCAGCTCCTGGTTTCTCCCTCCCTTGCCTGTTCCTTGGAGCTGGACCGTGGTTTCTCCACCAGCCAGGATGCAGACTGGTCTGTCGGGCCCTAATCCTTGCAGGGCCCTTAGAAACTCCTCCAGGTGCAAGCCTGGGATCTGCAGCTCTGCTGCCAGCTGCAGGAGATTGCCCCTCAGCTCGTCCCCCAGGGGCCCTTCTGCGAGGCTGCTGAGGCCCAGGCAGAGCAGCTGGATCAGCTGGCAGTACAGAGTGGCAACACGGCCCACTTCCCCCTGCACTGCTGCACTCAGCACCAGGGCTGCATAGCCCAGGCCCTCAGCCTGGCGCCTGGCCTCCTCCAAAGCCAGCCTGTTGGACCCAAGGATGATGTTGGAAACATGGGAGTAGTTTTCTGGAGCAGTGGGCTTGGTGGGAGAGCTGGAGAGGACCATTTCCACTGACTTGGGCAGGCTGTGCAGCAGGTTGTATTTGGTGAGTATCTGAAGGCAGTCTTGGACACTGTGGGAGCTGGGAGCAGTGGGCCCACTCGCTATGATGTCCAGGGGGTCACCTATCACATCAGACAGGATGAGACTCACCACCTATGGAAAGAAATGCCCACAAATTACTGCAGGAGGCAAAGACAGGTGACCACAAAAGAGCCCTGGCACAAGCACTGCTCTGAGTGCCATCCCCACATAAAAGCAGGTGGAAACAGGGTAGGTCTTTGCCCATTTTTAATTTATGGGCCTGTGAGTGTCACCTTGCCTTTCTCAAACCCACAGATTTACAGTCCCCTTTGAAGCTGGACTATCATGTTGGAAGATGTAACCTGGGAGACTGCACTTGTCAGGCCCAATCTAGTGTGGGTTCAGCAATGGGACACGCTGAGAACAGCTCCCAGGGGAGCCAAGGGTCAGAGCCAGCCTTGAAAGCACTGTGCTGAAGCACCTACACTTGGAAATGCCTGCTGGGTGTGGGCTGGGATCTGCAGAGTGGCATGATGGGATGGCTGATATTTCCCAAGTCTGAATTCCCATTCTCCCAGCTCTGTCTCCCTGAGAGTTTCGGTCCAAAGTGAAATCTCAGCTAGAGAGCCCCAAAACAGTGTGCAAAGCTGTTCACTCAGTACGGACAAAAACCTGGCAAGTTGATTAAACCTGTGTTTTGAGGGTAGATGGGTGATCTCTGGGCAAACAGGGGCTTTCCCTTGGTTACCCGTGCAGGATGTGCCAGCTGGGCCAGCCCTCCACCCTTCAGCACGGACAGAGTCTTCCGGACAATGTTCAGCTCCTGTATGGCAGCTCCTCGGGAAGCCAACAGCTTTGTGAGCTTCTCCTTCTCCTCGAGGAGGATGGGAGGGATGGGAGCAGGCAGCAGGGCTGAGCCACCCCCTAGGATGCAGAAGAGATGGCAAGGACATCAGGATAGCAGGGGAAGGAGGACAAAGGATGTAAGATGCAAGGCTTTAGCCTTTTCTCTTCCCTCACAGGTGTCTAGAGGGAAGGCAGAGGTGACTGGGGACCTAAGCTAACATCTCTGGAGAATTCAGTCATCTTCAACAATGGGTTTGAATCACTGCTGTGCTGCACCCTCTGCAGTCAGCTACACTTCACCCAGGCGGTGTGAGCCTGGCTGGATGGGGGCACCACAAGCCTGCAGTGTGGTGGGCATGACAGAAGAGGGACAGCACCTACCCTCACCTCTGCACTGGGCTGCAGCTGGCTCCTCACACTGATATTCAGGGCTTACCTGGCTGGGTGGGCAGGGAGCATGGCCTCCATGGCTCACACAGCAGCCAGTGCTGTGCACATGGGGACACTGCCTTCTTTGGTGGCTCCATTTATTCAGGACAGTGTGTAAAAACACTGGCTAGGGGTGCAGCAAAATTGGAAACTGCTGAACTGCACTCATCTAGGCCTGGGAGGAAAGAAAAGGGGGGACAGTAATGCAAAGGACAAAGCACACTCTGAGTCCAGGGTGATAGCTTCACTGCTGGGAATTCTGTCTGATACAAGCAGGCATTGGAAATGTGGAAAAGAAGGCAAGGTTCTAATGGAAAAGTGGAATGGATTGAAAATACAGAGGAGAAAAGAGCAAGGTCTGTGCACAGAGTGAACGTGCACAGAAGTACAGCTGAATGCACTGTCAAAATGCAAAGCCTGCTCAGAGGTTTGAGACAAATCAGCATCAATAAAACATGATGAGCAAGAAAAACAAATGCAAATGCCTGTGTTTCAGTCAATAGCCAGGGATCTAGCTGAGAGGCAGGAGCAGTTGGGGACCGGCTGCTGTGTGGGAGTGCACATGCACAGGGAGTCACAGCCACGGGGAGATCCTGTACAGGCTCCCTGAAGGGCTGAGGAGTCTCTTGGAGATCCCTGGAGCCAAAAGACAGGAGGAAGCCCAGGGGAATCCCCAGAAAGCACAGCTAGCTTCCAGTCACTTGGGTGTTTGCCTAATGGCACTGCTCTCTCTGTACTGGATCAGGCCTCAGCATCCACAGAGGAATAAACACTGAGCAGAGGAGAACAAGGCCTTTCTGCAGAGCTGCTCCAAGCCCCTGCATGCTTCTGTCCTGTGACACCCACTGAGCTCAGGATGAGGTGATGTCACTGCATCCTTCTGATGCATCTTCTTACACAGCCCTGGATCTGGGGACAGCCTGGGGGCCACCAGCCAGGCCCTGGGGGTGTGCAGGGCTGCCCCTGCAAGGCATGCAGCTTACTGTGTGGTACCTGGAGGCCTCATTTCCACCAGCTGGGAAGGAGCCAAGCCCTGGGAAAGGTCAGTCCCAGATCTCAGCTTTCAGACTCACGCTCCTGCACAAAGGCTGAGCATGCAAATCTACCAAGTGCTTGCCTCTACAAGTCTGCATCCCCAAATATAAGGAGAGGGCAGGAAGAAAGTGTTTCCTTGCCAAGAGGTGGGAACAGCTGCCAGGCTGTGCCCAGAGGTGCCACTTCACTGTGGTGGCACAACTGCAGGACCTAGCCTGTGCAACTCAGCCTCTTTCCAGTGCTGGGAGGCAGCATGTCCACTGCAGCAGCAGGAAGCCCTGTGCTCTCCCTTGCTGCATGCCTGGAGAAAGGATGGCAGAAGGGAGAGGAAAAAGTCAGAGGTGCAAGTGTCTGTGCTGACGGAGCTAGCACAGCACAGCACTCCCTTGCTGCAGGGTCAGGGGTGGGCAGGCAGCTGGGGGCCCTCAGCAGATCCCATTCCTTGGGATCCCCACCCTACCTGAGATGAGCACAAGGAGCAGGTCATCTGCAGTCAGACCCTCAGCCAGCTCCTGGATGGCAACTGCTCCCTTCAGAGCCTCTGCATCTGGGAGGTTGTTCTTGGCACCTTCGATGACCTGGATTCTGCTGTGTGGCTTCAGCAGCATCTCCCTGGTGAGGTAAGAGAGGCAATGACACCACGGATCTGTGCACCCACACAGGCAGCCAGGCTGTCACCTGCAGGTGCCTGGTGTACCAGTGGCATACAGTGAGTGACCAGGACAGGCACATGGCCTTTGCTGAGTGTCTCTTCCCCACAGCCAGAGAGGCAGCACACCCAGCACAAGAGGTGGGCTTGCATCACTGGTGTCACTGGGATGTGATGGTGGTTGAAGATGAGAACAGTGGGGTGGATGGGATAGGCAGCAAAGCAAGGGCAGCTCAGAAGGACTTAAGGTGTTCACAGCAACATCCCACAGAGGGAAAATCTGCTTATACCCCTCCTTCCTGCTCCCCAAAATTGTCCAGAAACAGTCCTTACTGCATTCCTGCTCGCTGCAGGCTCTCCTGGATCCCCAGCGGCACATTGATAATCCCCTGAGTGAGGTGGTCTCCCAGGATCTCTTCTGCTGCTGCAGCCATCCCCAGCACAGCTTTTCCAAAACCCACCAGGTACAGGTCCCTCTTCAGTGGAAAGGCCTGGCCCTTCACCAGCAGCTGAGGGCACCCATCTCCCTGGAGCTTCAGAGCCCTCCTCAGCATGGGAGCTGGGCGGACGGTGCCCAGAGCGCCACGGAACAGGGACAGCGCGTGCTCGCGGAGGGACATGGTGCACAGGCTGCCAGGGCCGAGCCACTCTGCCTTGTGGGGTGGGCTTCTGCACTCCCTGCCAGCACTGGCAAGGCATCAAGGGCTGAAACAGCCAGCAGCCTCCAACCTGCAAGGGAAAGTGAACACTTTTGCTAGTAGAAGAGACAGGGCTGTCACAGAAAGAAGAGAGAGGTCAAAACATGAACTGTGGAACTCTAGCTCCTGTTTCCCCTAGATTAAGGTGCCATACAAGCAGCATTTTCTAACTTTTCCCCAGGCAGGAGGAAGGGAAGGACAGTGTCACATTCAAACTATCTGTCAGCTTGTGATTCCCCTGAAATCTCATCACCTCCTGCAGGGAAGGTGAGCTCTGCCAGCCAGCTTCTCCATCACTGTAGATTTGCCACTGGCAAGCCATCATTTCTTTTTGCTTAGCGTTTGACACCTTTCCAAACTGTGGAAGCTGCTCTCTGTCCTGGAGAGAGCAGGGCATCTGGGTGGAACAGCTTTTCACTACATTAACTCCCTTCTCATGCTAGCCAAATGCTGATGTCATCCTCTGGCTGTGCATTGCCCCATGTGTCCCTGCAGCATCAGACACGGACTGAGGAGATACAAGCCTTGCTGGCTGCCTCATCCCTTGCTGCTGGTGGCCACAGAGAGACCAGTAATGAGGTTTCCTCACCAAACAGCAAATTAACACAAGGCTTAATTTGCCTTTCTCTTTTACTCCTCGTTATCCATTAAAATCACATTTAGAGCCCAAATAAGACTTCATATCCAGGCAAAGTGTCTGTGAAAGCTGTGTCTGTGAAAGCCCATTTGAGCTGCTCTCCACTGAGCATTAGCATTATCTGCAACAGATCTGTACATGGACCAAAAGATCTCAGCTGCTCAAGGGCAGATACTTGTCTTGACAGAGGAAAGGTGGCCCCTGCCAGCACACACACATCTATTCCCTCCCAGCATTTCTCCTTCCTTCTGTTAACTGGCAGCAAGTTCACTGCTGGTTTCTGAGGATCAAAGATCCTTGTGATCTGCATTTCTCCTGCTCATGGCATTTAAGGCAGGGTGCCAGGAGGCTGAAGCAGCCAGGGCAACACACTTGATCACAGACTCATTGAAATTCCCTGAGAGAGAGTTAATCCTCTCTCAAGTGAGTGGATGTGTTTTGTGCAAGGGCTTCTTTTAGGAGAGCTCAGGAGTCCAGAGGTCTCTCTGTCCTGACACTCCCTAGCATTGCAAGGTGTTAATCATTAAGCTGGACAAGCTTTTCAACAGCTCCTCTGGGTCTAAATCTGCCTTACTTTGCTGCAGGGATCCAAAAGATCTACAGAGAAAACCTCTACACACCTTCTCAGGCATTGAAACTTGGGAACACTCTGAAATCTAGGGACAAGGGACTTGTAGGTAAGGCTCTACAGAGAATCAAAAGTTTGTCAGAGAAAGAACCCCAAGAATCACTGAAGTGGGAGAAGACCCTTAAGAACAAGGCTAGCAGTAAACGATTCATTGCTTAGGAGAACAGATTTTAAAGCCAAAAGCCAAGGCAGATTAACTACCTGTGTGTACTCCCTTTAGGTGCTGGTCAGAAGGACTGGCTTTTCAACCACTAGGGACAGGAGAACAAAAGACAGGGTGCCCTGACCACTTTGTTAGTAGACTCTTAAACTTCATGGCAGCTGATGCTGCCAGCAGTTGAAACCACTGACCCCACTTCAGTGAGGGCCACAGTAACTGCACTGACCGCAGTGAAGTCAGCCCTGCACCTCTCAGGAACTGAGATAAGCATCTCTGCTCCCAGCAGGTCTCTGATTCACCTGGCCCTGGGCACAGTGCAATCAGAGGAAGGTGCTACAAAGCAGAGGCGCATCACACCCCAGGTCACCTCGTCTGAGCTGCAATACAGGGTTTGCAGGAAAGGCTAGAGAAGAAAAGCTTAAAGGGAGCCAGGGGAGTTTAAGAAAATACCCCCCCCCAAAGTTTTTAACAGGCTTTGTCTCTGCCTTGATGTTTCTGTGCGCCGCTGACCCTGAAGCCCGGGGAAATTGAGCACAAGCAGACCTGCAGCCGTGGCTCTGTCACACGTGCCCAGCTCCAGACACCACACAGCAGGCAGGAGTTCTTTAAAGGCAGTCCTCTCCTACTGGAGGTGGAAAAACTAAATGCCAGCTTAATTCATCTGGCACTTGTGTACATACTGCTAATGCTTACTCTGGAAAGCATTTCAGTACAATAGCAGGCATGTAATCTGTTTTCTGCACTCTGAACTCAGATTATATTTTAACCATCGAGGCCTGATCCAGAGTCTGCGGAAGCCAGGAAGTGCCTTTCTATTGCATCTCAGGATTTTGGGGTTCATTGCCTGACACCGATCTCAGAGCACAGGTGTAAAGGCAGAGTAAATACAGTGGAAAACCCCCTTGCAGTCAGAGGTTATCCAGCTTTATACCAGTGCAACAGAGAGCTGAATTTGGCACAGATCCATTTGCTTTGGATGTCTCAGTGTGTGACTCTGCTCCTTGTCAGCTCTGATTAGACACACAGGCTCACTGGAGACTCCCCTTGGAATGGGGGTGCTGCTAATGATACCACAAATCCCTTTTTATGTAATTTATTTATACAGTCTCAGGCACTGGGTACTAAATGTCATCAGGGAACAGCTATAAATCAGTGCTATGAAATCCACTGTAGATATTAACAAAAAATAAAACTCCTACTCATTTTACTAAGACTTTAAAAACAAGATCAAGAGAACTGAATACCACCCCAAAACACAGGCAGTAGTGGAAAGAAAAATAACCCAAATGGCAGCTCTCATGCTCCCTCCCCAGATGGTGGGTTTAGAAGTGGTGTAATTGCCTGTTAACTGCTACATATTGCACGAGGGGAAATTACACCCTCACATCCCTGCCTTTTCCTCTTCCCACTGCTGGCTGTGAGGAATCTGGGCTGGGAGAAGGGGCTGATGATGTGACTCATATTACTTCATGCACTAATCTTAGTTTCCCAGTTTCTCAGGAAAATCACTTAAGGATGAATGAGCCCTCTTCTATATGGATATAAGGTGACAAGCTACAGGCATGAGTGAGGTTCAGGTTTCACACCTTCCCTTTGTCCCTGGTTGGGATAATTTGGAGTTGGGATATAGACAATCTTTTGAAAAGTTTCCTGTAAGTTCGTACTAAGCTTAGGATGAAAATGATGCTAAGAATTGCCTGTTCCAAAGAGAGCTGGAGGATTGTAAGGGGTTTAGATTAATCCCCTTTAAATGAAAACTTCCTCAGCTTTCATTCATGAATAATCTACGCACTAATAATAATCTACACACACCATTATAAGCCCTTTCTTCAGAGGGCTCCTCCTAAGCCTGCAGAAATTTCCACTGTTAGCTCTCACACCAAAATGCAGCAAAACCCCAGCTTCTCATTTTCACCTTCTCTGGGAAAGAGGGAGGGGAAGGAGCTGGACTGTGATAAAATACAGGCAAAATGCTCGTTTGCGTTACCTTTCATTAACTTTTTAATTAAAGCAATTCTGCAGGCAAGGAGCCAAAGTCAGAGGGAGACAGAAAGAATCCAGCAGTAGGGGCAGAAATGAGGTAAAGCTGCCAAGTAAATTGGATGGTGGCAAGAGACCAAAAGCATGGACATAGCAGGGCAGAGCCTGAGCCATAAACTTGGAGTCACACTGGGGAAGAAAACAGTGAACAAATGAGCTGGCCATGCCCATGCAGTGAGAAAAATGAGCCAGCACCTCACTCCATGGCAGGTACCTGAAAGCTAGAAAAATACTCCTTTCTAGGGGCCAGTCTGCCATCACTGGGCAGAGCTGAGCTGTTCCAGGTGCTGTGGTTAGAGGTTTGTTCAAGGATTTGCATCTTGGGCTTGTGGTTTTTTTGAACTTGAGGCAATTGAGCTTATTGCAGGCCAACCCAACCACACAGACATCCTGAGCATTTCAGGTGCTGTGAGATCAGAGGATGCTGTGCCAGAATAAATGATTTAACTGAGAACAGGGACCTAAGTTACTTTAGTTTCAATGCTGTCAGGATGCCTCTGGATTTCCTCCAGGACTGCTGGCTGGCACACCTTGCACAGGGTCAGCTTCAGAATCTCTGAGGGGCTAGGAAAATATTTGAGATAGCACTGGATCAAACCCCAGTTGTTGGAGGATAATTTTGAGCTCAAGCTCTAAAAGATAGATTACAGTAGTAAACTCCCAGACACAGCAAGTTTTAGCAGTGTCTCTTGTTCCTCGTTTTTCTTGCTGCGTGACTTTTTTCTGGCCTCTCGGCATGTAAATTACTGACACACTCACCAGGGCTCCCTGCTTCCATTTCTCCTACATCACCAGGGGAATTTACCTATGAAGTACAACAAAGTGGAGATTTTACTGCCTTAAACTCCCCCGTTCCCACTTACTGACACATCTCCTCTATCATTTGATATATCAACTTTAATTCGCCTGGTGAGCCCTGCTCAAACCCAAGCTTGCTGCTCCACATGGTCCCAAAAGCATTACAAGAAAATTTTCCAGGAGATGCACTAAACCCAGGAGGGAAACAACGCACTGAAGGCTTGTTCCAAGTGACTATTCTGGGAGGATTAGATGGGGGATTTTTCAAGACTAATCTCTTTAAATGAAAATTTCAGAATTTGATTAATTTTTTAATCTGCACATGGATTTGCATAAAATTACTGCACTGCCTCATTCACATTTGGCAAAAGAGAAAATGTCTGCAGCAAGGATGGGCAGTTATGAAGGGTCCAGTGCACGAGTGGGTGTGCAGGGACAGGGTGAGGGGCCCTTTGCCCCCTCTCACTGCAGTGCTCCTGCATCCAAAAGTGGGAAAAAGTGTCAGGGTGGTCAGCAGCAGTATGATGAGACCAGAGGGTTTGCCAGGCAGGCAAGGGAGAAAGTAGGATGGAGCCTGGATACCTTTGTTTTAAGAATATGCTGAGCTCTGGGAAACCCAGGAGTCCTAGTTTCCAGTACATGGCTTTCTATATGTTGCT